AAAGAGAGAGGGAGAACCTCAGAGGTGAGCCAAGTCCAAATCATGCAGCCCATGGTAAAGATGAGGACAAACAAGCAAACAATACTTTCTCCTGAATGTGATTTGTAGCCAGTGAACATTGTTGAGCAGTCAAGTAAAATATGAAGTTTAGAAGCACGCACCCAGCTGCAGTGCGAAGCAGATTACCAAGGCAACTGGATGGCTGTAGGGCCATAGGAGATTGCTGCAATAATCCAGATGAGAAATAGCAAAAGGACTTTGAGGGTTAGGAATGTACCTCAGTGGTAGAGTGTGTGCTTTGGACGTGTTAAACACTAGGATTCAATCCCTAAGCACTAAATTAATTAGTTAACTAATACATTTTTGAAGGTTTTGACTTTTATTTCCTGCTTCTTGTCACTCATCCGCATCTAGGTACATTTGGCATTCAGTACCAAGATCATTCAAACTGCGTGGCATTTGGTTCACCTTAAAATGCATGCCTTCGGGGTTTTTGTTTTATTAGTTCACAATTCCTTTATTATCTTGTATTGTACATAAGCAAAGAGTTTTAATGGCTTCCTACAAAATTATGATGGGCGACTGAGAACATTTCTAAGCCAAAAGTTTCCTATCAGAAAGTGTATGTTCCTTTAAAAAAATTTTTTTGGATTTTTTTTTTTGGTCTCTTTTTGAGACAGGGTCTCCCTGTAGCCCCAGCTGTCCTGGAACTCACTATGTAGACCAGGCTGGCCTTTAACTCACAGACATCCGCCTGCCTCCGCCTCCCAAGTGCTGGGATTAAAAGCATGTGCCACCATGCCCAGCGGATTTTTTTTTTTTTTAATGTGTATGGGTGTTTTGCCTTCATGTATGTAGATGCAGCTCATCTATATAATGTCTGTAAAGACCAGAAGAGGGCATCAGGTCCCCTGTAATCGGAGTTAAGGGTTGTTAGCCACCATAAGGGTGCTGGAAACCAAACCTGGGTCACCTGGAAGAGCAGCCAGTGCTCTTAACCACTGAGCCATCTCTCCAGCCTCTAATATGTTCCTTTTTAAAACAAGCTCGTGAAAATCATGATTTAAGGTAGGAATTTTTATTCCACCCCAACACATTGTCTGGTAATGTTCCATAATTACATGGAAATTTTAAGGTGCTTGTACTGTCTGAATTTATAGTGCTCAATGGTGCCATCTAGTGACACAAGTACTGTAGACGGTGCCACTTTATTACCCAATACCTTGAGTACAGAATTTTTTAAAATGAGGTTGTTTTGTTTTGTTTTGATCTTTTTGAGACAGGGTCTCACTGTAGCCTCAGCTGGCCTTGAACTCACTGTGTAGACCAGGCTGGCCTCAAACTCAGAGATCCCCATGCCTCTGACTCCTGAGTGCTGGGCCTACAGGCGTGTGCCACCACAACCGGCAAAATCAGTTTTATACTCAAAACTTTATGCAATGGCCAAGCTCAAAATAGAGAAAGGATCATAAAACTTCTATAGATGATTCTTATAAAAATCACCAACATACAAACAATAAAAAGATAGCAATATTAGAAAACATCAAAATTTAAAACTTCCATCTTTCAGAAGATACTTGAGAAAGTAAAAAGATAGCCTACAAAATGAGAGGAAATAATTATAAATTATTTGTCTTACAAAAGTCTAGTATCTACAATATACAAAGAATCATTACAGGGACTAGAGAGATTACTTAGCAGTTAAGAGCACCAGTTACTCTTGCAGAGGACCCAGGTTTGGTTTCCAGCACCCATATAGTAGTTCACAACCATCTATAACTCCAATTCCAGGAAATCCAATACGCTCTTTTGGATTCTGTGGGCACCAGGCACACACATGGTACACATACATGCAGACAAAACACTCATACATGTCAGGTGTGGTGGTGCATGCCTGTAGTCCCAGCACTTTGGAGGCAGAGGCAGACAGATCTCTGTGAGTTCAAGGCCAGCCTGGTCTACATAGTGAGTTCAAGGCCAGCCTGGTCTACATAGTGAGTTCCAGACCAGCTGGGGCTACAGGGAAACCCTGTTTCAAAAACAAAAACGACCAAGAGAAAAACATTCATACACATAAAAAATAAAAATAAATCTTTATTCTTCTTATATTTTATATGTATATGTGTATTGCCTGCATGTAGGTAAGTGTGCCCATGTCATTAAATGCCTGCAGAGGACAGAAGAGACTGTCAGATCCCCTGGAATTGGAGTTACAGACAATTGTTAGCTGTCATGTGGGTGCTGGGATTCGAATCCTGGTCTTCTGCAAGAGCAGTCAGTGTTCTCGACCGCTGAGCCATCTCTCCAGTCCCCCCAAAATAAATCTTTTTTAAAAAAATTCTTAGAACTGGAAAACAAAGAGATAAAAATTTAAAACTATGAGTCGGAGCTGGAGCTGGGGAAGTAGCTGTTTGCCCAGCGTGCACAAAGCCCTGGGTTCGATCCCCATCACAGCATAAACCGGGCATGGTGGCACATGCCTTGTAATCCCAAATGGAATCAGAAGGATCAGAAGTTCAGGGTTAGGCCAGCAAGTTTGTTGGAGGCACTTCTGCACAGGCCTGACAGCTTGAGTTTGATCCGTATAGCCTTCAGTGTAAGCAGGAAGGAACCAACTCTCCGCAATTGTCCTCTGACCTCCCCACGTGTGCCATAGGACGTGTGTGCCTACATGCACACAGACAGACACGCACACACTTGTGCATGCATGCACACACACAATAAACAAATATTTCTTTAAAAGAGCAAGATCATGCCGGGCGTGGTGGCACACATCTTTAATCCCAGCACTTGGGAGGCAGAGGCAGGCGGAACTCTGTGAGTTCAAGGCCAGCCTGGTCTACATAGTGAGTTCCAGGACAGCTGGGGCTACAGGGAGACCCTGTCTCAAAAAGATCAAAATATAAAATAAATAAATATATAAATAAATAAATAGTGCAAGGTCATAAGTAGCTGCATACTAAGTTCAAGTTGAATTTCAACTACTGTCTCAAAAAACAAACCAAAAGAGTCAAAGACTTAAATAGATACTTCTCCAAAGAAAATACATAAATATCCAGTAAACACATGAGAGGATGTTTGGTATCATTAGTAACTTGAGAAATGAAAAATTAGAGTCACAGTGAGATACCATGTTCCAGCCACTAAAATGGCTTTGGTGACTTAAAACACAAAGCAGAACACACACACACACACACACACACACACACACACACACACACACACACACACGAGTTTTGTGGCAAGGATATCAAGAAGTCAGAACCTACATGTGTTGTTGATAAGGTATAGCCATTGTGAAAAACACAAAATTGCCACATGACCCAGCAATTCCATGCTTAGGTGTATTCCCAAGAGAACTTGAAGCAGGTGCCAATTTGAAATAAACATAGAGGTGAATCTTCAATCAGCAATATTTTATTTGGGCATAATTGTAATCCGGGACATATATATATGTACACATGCTAGAATGCCTCTAGAATGTCCAGAAACAAAAGAAAGCTTGGCAGTTTTGTTGGGACAAAGAAATGTACTCATGGCATTATGAAAGAACATTCATTGGCACTCTGTGTGTTTTCGGGAGCTGGCGAGCTCTGATTGGTGAACAGCATAGACACTCTGCAACGCTAGCTACATGCCAGTCTGTCAGTTGCTAAGAAGAAAAAATATGGACTTTAAAGATAAGGTAGCTGTTTTTTTGGATTGATGTGGCCGGAAAGTTCTTGCAACAGTTGTTGAGACCTGAGTGTTTTTCCCCATGACCTCTCAGCTTTGTTTCAGATATGTCTGACAGGAATGTTTTGAGCTGTAATTTCCACATAGATACTCAAACAAAAACTTGTACATAAATGTGCATAATATTTCTAATGTTTTTTTCTCTGACTACTCATTAGTGAATATATGCTAATTTATAATTCTGAAAATCATGGATGAGAAATATTGAAGGAGATTATTGAATATATGTTCCCAGGCTCTGTGCTGAATCCATTATTATTATTATTATTATTTATTCCTTGTAAATTTCCTATATCTCACTGTCATGAAGTATCTACAGAAAGCTAATAACCAAACAGGCAAAGGTCAGAACCCATATGTTTTTGTTCCCCAAATGTCCTATTTTTTTCTAAACTTTAGCAATATTAGGTTTTACCTTTGTTAGTTGCTATTCATTAGAGATTCAGCATTTCCCAAGTGACTGTTTATTGTTCATTGCTATTACATAACAGTCTGTAAATTTATTAATAGATTTTAAATTGAACTTTCCTGCTTTTCTTATAGACAAAGGAACTATATGCCATAGCTTTATTATAATTTTTGGACTTTTATTTATTCCTCTAGGCTCTTGATGGAAATGTGTATGATCACCTCAAGGATTATTTAATAGCCTTTAGCCGGACTGAGCTAGAGACTTGCCAAGCTATACAGAACACATTCCAGTTTTTATTAGAAAACTCCAACAAGGTAAGGTGTCTTTAATGCAATGAGTGTATTTCTATTTTTTTAAACTCTTAAAAATTTTTATTTATTATTTTTATTTTATGTGTATGCGTGTATTGCCTGCATGTGTGTAAGTGTACCTGTGTCCTGCAATGCCCACAGAGGTCAGAAGAGGGCATCAGATCCCCTGCAATTGGAGTTATGGACAGTTGTTAGCCTCCATGTGAGTGTTGGGAATCGAACCCAGGTCCTCTCCAAGAGCAGCCAGTGCTCCTAACCACTGAACCATCTCTCCAGCCCATAATCATTATTTTCTTTCTAGTAAATTTATTATACACACTTCCTGACTGAACTATGCAAGTTTTTATTTAAAATGGATGTATTTTTGTTACTGTTTATTTTTTAATATTTTAATTTATTTATTTATTTATTTATTTTATTATTATTATTTTTTTAATCTTT